GCTCCCAAAAGCCATTGGAATTTTAGCATTCGGGCAAACATTAACCCAAAAGCTTGTAATTGGAAAAAAACCCCTTATGTTCTGTCTGAGTAGTCGCTTCAAGGACCCAAAGGTCCCTCACAGCAGCTAAGCTCAGCAATCCATTTTTTCAGCATATCGCAACGCTGGAAACACAAAATCCTATTAATCTACAGCACAAAGATGTTATAAATGTTGTTATGGCCTCTAGGAAGAGCCTTAAAACACTGTAGTAACACAAAATGTGGTACTGTTCCTTTTCCAAGAAAAGGGTTTCATCAGTAATAAGCATTTGAAGCAACCACTAAGATCCAATTTTCCTTCTGAAGACAATAATAGAAGTATTGGGGTTTGACAGCTGGTATTGGCAGCTGCTGTGCTCAGGGATGGAGGAAAATTCTACACGTTTCAGAAATATATTTTCAAAAGCTGCGTGTAGAAGGTAGATCCATCCCCCCAACCCTAAAATCCATTCCTCCTCAATTTCTGTTCCATAAAGATGGGACTTGAGCACCAACGTGAACCCTCATGAAGGCAAGAAGCTTCCCTCAGCAGTTCAGTGCCCCCAGGGCCACACACCGCCCACGGAGCGGCGTACCGACACGTGTCTGCGCAGGGTGGACATGTCGGTGAAGGTCCTCTCGCAAGCACGGCACTGGTACGGCTTCTCCCCGGTGTGGATGCGCTGGTGGCGCCGGAGGGCACCCTGCTGGGTGAACGTCTTCCCGCACTGCTCGCAGAAATACCGACGGGTCTCTGAAAAACAGCCCGGGAAGCACGGAGTTAGCAGGTGGGGTCTTTCGGCCATCGTTTCAGCAGATAAAAAAAGCAAGAATGTTTAAAAGATAGAATTATAGAATCACAGAGGTTTGGGTTGGAAGGGACCTCAAAGATCATCCAGTTCCAACCCCCCTGCCATGGGCAGGGACACCCTCCACTACACCAGGTTGCCCAAAGCCCCATCCAGTCTGGCCTTGAACACTGCCAGGGATGGGGCAGCCACACCTTCTCTGGGCAACCTGTGCCAGTGCCTCACCACCCTCAGAGGGAAGAATTTCTTCCTTATATCCAATCTAAATCTCCCCCCTTTCAGTTTAAAGCCATTTCCCCGTGTCCTGTCGCTACAAGCCCTTGGAAAAAGTCTCTCTCCAGCTTTCCTGTAGGCCCCCTTTAAGTACCCCTTTAAGATAAAGTGGTGTACGTAGGAGGTATGTGCTGGAGGTTCTGGTTTTTAAGGTTATGTGTTAAAAGTTTCTTGGCTGCCTTTTCTCAAGGAAAGTCTGAGAACAGCTCTCACAAGGGGAACGGCAGCAACTACAGCCGCCCTCTGCTCCGACATCCTTCAGCAGCACAAACAAGGCCTCAGTTTTCCAGGCAAGCATCATCCGACACGACACAAGGCAATATTGTGCCCTGCTCAGCAAGCCAGGACCAGGATGAGCCCTGCTTCTCCTCACCACCTGATTCAAGGAGCTTCTAAAAGTGGTTCTGGAACAAAACGTCACCAGCCAAACTGGGAAGTGCTTCGGACCCAAGCTTCCAGCTTATTTTCCCACCCTGCAGAGTCTGTTTTGTTACCTGCGTGGACGTTGCTGTGCTGGGCGAGCGAGGCTCGCAGTCCAAAGGTCTTCCCACAAACCTCGCACTTGTAGGGCTTGGCACCCATGTGGCACCGTTTATGGCATTTCAAGTATTCGTTGGTGGCAAAATGCTTCCCACACACATCGCATCTGAAGAGGCGCTCTCCTGAGTAAAGAGAAAAAGGCACTGTGAATTCTTGCAGCAGAATTTTGCACTCCAGAGTTGGTTTTCAAATGTCTTTCTAGCCCTAGCAGCTCCTTCCTGCGAGTTACAAAATCAAACGTGCACCTTTTCCGAATCCCGACTGGCCCTCTTCTAGCAGCACAACGGGAGGTGGTGGGAGGAACCAGGTGGAAGGTGCCTACCTGTGTGGGTCCTTTTGTGGCCAGTGAGTTTGCCTTTATCAGCAAAGCAAGCCCCACAGTCCTCACAAATGTATGGCTTTTCCCCTGTATGGGACCTAAACGAAGTCAAACATAAATTAATATTAACAAACCAGCTCTTGTAGTGGTTCTTAAAATAATAAATTTGAAATTACATTTTACACACTACTGTCAACATGCTTCAGCTTTTAAACAAAGAGGAAAAAAGTACGTTCTGCTCAGTCAGGAAATGAGAGTTTGCCGGTAGAGGCGCTGCACTAAAGCACTAAAATTCCCACTCAAGGTTTCCCTTTTCCTCACCCTCAGGCCCTACAAAACCCACCTTTCCTTCACAAGTTCTAGCTCATCAAATCAGTGTCAGAAGGGTGAAGGCAGGGAGGATGACAAGCTGTTGCTGTGCTAGAGACTGAATGTGCATCCAGACTGTCCCCAGCATGATGCCAGCAGCAGATCCCTCGGGACGCTGCGGGCCACGTTCTCGGCTTCGGCGATCCCTCAGCCTCACGGCCGCTGGCCTGCAAACCTGAACTGGCAGGATATTCCCAATTTTCAGACAAAAGGCACTAAGGAAAGTCAGGCAAGCAGTATTTCTGAATGCATGCTGGACATCTGATTTTAAACCAGCTCAAATCAGAGAACGTCTGAGCCTAGTGTTTGGTATTAACACTGTGCCCACTTCCTGTATTCCAACACAAACAGTACGATGGGCAAAAAACATGGATAATTTTGAGCTGCCAGGCAAAACGCTACAAAAATGAGACAGCCAGTTACCCAACGAACCCCATGAGTCACTGTTTTGTTGCAGTCATACCGCATCTTACACGCAGTGCAGCTCTGCTGCGTCAGCTGGCAGAGATCATCCTGGCGTTCCCGATGTTTTGCCCATGCCAGCATCCCTCACCAGTTGTGAAATCGCTCTAAGAACACTTGGGAGACAGGAGAAACCTGCTGTCCCCATCGTGTGGGTCCACAGTCTCCAGTAACAGGGTTTCTCTCACCTCGTTCAGCCCTCCATCAGCTAACGTCCTATTATAAGCTATCTGCTAGGCTCTCCGTACGGAGAAAGATGGGAAATTCCATGGGATGATTCACCCCCTCCTGGGAGAGGACACATTCAACACAGACACCACCAGAGAGCAATTCATCCAGCCTGGCTCCAGTGACTCCAGAGGGAGCCCAGATGAGAAGTGCAGCTTTTGGATTGCATCCAGACCCCGGAATCCCACACCAATGACTACCTCAGAGTGAGCAGGGCTCAGCATCGGGGGCTCTGAGGCCCTGGACTCACTCTTCAGCCTGTGCTACTCTTCCTCAGCGAAGGCCATCAGCTGTTCTGAAGGCTGTCTCAAGTGACTGGCATTTGTTACACGTTCGGACAGAGTATCTGTTTCAAAATCCTTACTGAAACTGATGCAATGACCAGCTGCAGACAAAGCCTTTGCGTAAAAGAATTAATCACAGACACTACAGAACAAACGATATCCCAGTGTTCCCATTACAAGGGCATGCAAGGTGAATGATTCAGAACGGGGAGGTTAGAAGGGGGAAAAAGAAGTGCTGAGGGCCACTGGGCACGCAGGGAGTGGTAAGGGGAGAGGCAGTGCCGTGGGCTGACCTGGTGTGGATCTTAAGCTGCGACGGCTGAGCGAATTTTGCGTGACAAATGCCACATTCGTAGGGTTTTTCCCCCGTGTGCGTCCGCATGTGGAACACCAGTGCTGTCCGGGAGCTGAGGATCTTCCCGCAGACAGAGCAGAGAGGACGTCTGACTCTGCCTTCGTGCTTCCGCACGCAGTGCGTCCTCACGTCCCTCTTCCTTTTAAACGTGGCACTGCACAGGGTGCAGGCGAACCGCCGCTCCTCGCTGTGCACGCACGCCCGGTGCTCCTTCCAGCTGTTGGAGCTGGCGAACGACTTGCCGCAGACGTCACACCGATAGACCTTACCGGGCAAGCACTGGTGGACGTCTCTGCAGTGATCCACGTACTTCTTCCGGGAAACAAACTGCTCCTTACACTTGTCACACGTTATCACATAGGCGGATTTGTTATTCACCTCGCTTTTATTTACTGTCTTTATTTTAAACTCTCCATCTGACTCATGCTCCTCACCATCCTTCTCGTTAGAGTACTCATCCTCCTCATCGTCCTCCTCAGTGCAGACCTCCTCATTATCTCTACTGTCTTCAGCTTCCGAACACCCCGCCTCGTAATCCACCTCCTCCTCGCCCTTCACGCTCATTCCACCTTCATCTTCACTCCCTTCTTCACTCGTTTTTTCACTTCTTGCTCCAGCTTCCTTGTATTCCTGTTTCCGTTGCTCTTGCTCATTGCTGCAGTCTGCTTCGGTAACAGCTGGACCCCCGGGTTCTTCCTCACCACTTGTGGCCTCTCCATGCCTCGCACATTTCCGTTGTTCAGCCTCCGATGTCCCATCCCACTCGTCTCCGTCAGGATCTCTGTCACGGCTCGCTGCGTTCGGTCTACGCGCAGGTGGAACTACCATCCAATAGACAGGCATAAGCTTCCTTTCTTGCCCAGCCTCGTGGATTTTTCTGTTAAAATAAATAAAAAAAAAAACAGAGCATAACTTCAACAGGTTTAATTGTTTCAACTCAGATGTGTTTGCCTCAGAGGAAGAGTCGTTTCCTTTTCATTGTTTTTCACACCATGGAAGAAATTAAAAGCATGCTTGGAGAGCTGAACAACAGGGAAAATTTGTGTAGAGTTGGACCAGATAATTAAAGAAAATTAAAAAGCCTCCTTTTGTCTAGGATGGAGCCTCTCAAGTACACGTATTTGTCATCTGACCACTAACATAGGACGGACCATCAATTTTCCTCTAGGGCCATGGTGAACAGGATAGGAAACGCTGAGCTCAAACCCAAAGGAAATACAGATGGAAAACCAAACCAGAGCTCCTTGGAAGCCACCAACTGCAGGGGTTAACCCCACTCATCGCTGCTCAGCGCGCGGAACAAGCTACGCCACTGCGCTCGCGACACACCTGGAATGGTTTTGCTGCCACTCAACCAAATTTTGCCATTTTTTAAAAGGGAAGCTGGGATCCAGTAGAAACCCACCTATCTCCTGTACCGCGCAGGCAGGATAGGGAGATATTTGAGGTGTGTGGTGGCTTTTGCAGCTCTGCAAACTACTGTGCAGTTTCAACATCTTGTTTTCAGTCAGGCAGGGCTTAACAAACCCATCTGGAAGCTCGTGCTCCCCAGCAAAAC